GGTCTGTTTTCGGGACGAACTTTTCAACGAGCGCCCATTAAAATTATATTCAAAAGTTTGCACGGCAGCCGTTTGGCCTATTTCAATTTAAATGCTGACACTTTTGGGGTATGGCTAATACATTTAATTTGCGTTTAATGAAGTGGCATTTTAAAGCTGAAATGAAGACATGTATCCAAATAAAAAGACCGGTGGGTATTCTGGGAGCATCCACATTACCATTGAACAACTTTTGACACTTGCCAACAAATATAAATTGTTGCAGGCAGCGTGAAAAAGTGTCGGGCTTCTGCGGTTACTCTGCTCGCTGCTGCTGCTGCTGCTGCTGCTTCTGTTGCATCAAAAGTCGCAAAACTCATTTTTCACACCACTCAAAGATTTTGGGCTGGAGAAGAAGAAACCCATCTGACTGGCTGGCTAACTGACTTGGTTGGCTGGGCTGCCTGGCTGCCTGGTTGCTTGGCTGACTGATTGTGCGGGTCCTGGGGCAAAAGTTTTTCGCATTAACTTCCGCTGCACGCCGCGTCGCATTTGAATGCGATTTTGATTTGTCATTCGCCGCCGACGCGTCGTAACAAAAGCCGACGCCTACTTAAAGCGACGAGCACAACTTTTTCCACCCATTTTCCATTTCCACATCCGTTGCAGCAGCGACGCCATCAAACGACGCTAGTCGCCCACTTGTCGTCGATCATTGGTTTCCGTTTCCAGCCAACAGCTGAAAGTCGAACTCTCTGCAACTCTTCGCGACGTGCACAAGCGCATTTTGAAGTTTATGAAACAGCGAGCACGGTGTTGGCTTTGGTGGCTTCGACAAAGCCAACTTTTGCTGAATAGATTAAGTAGAAAGTTTTGCTCATTTTCAGCATTGCCCCAATTGAGAGCTGTTGCCTAAGCGACGCGTCGTCGTCGAACTGCATCTACGAACACATACTTGTACATATGAATCCACGTTCGCCAAGAAAAATCAACGTAATGATGTCAACGGCAGCGGCTGCAGCAAAATCAAAACTTTCTCAAGTATCATTAAAACTAACCGAAAAAAAGACGAAGAAATAACGAGTAACTTAGGCCAAGCACGCCAAAGATTAGATACACTTGCAAACCGATGGCTCCTTTTAAGGCTGTGTAATACAGTGACTGAGACTTTGAGATAGATTTATGTTGAACAATAAAGGTTGTCATAAAATAACTCATCCGTTGCTTGATCATTCATTTCCGTGGCATATACTGATCAAATATATATACACTTTATGGAGTCCTTTCATGCGTTACACACCTCACGACAAAATTGTACTACCCTCTCAAGAGCGAGAGACAGAGAGAGAAAGAAAAGGAGAGCGAGTAATTGAGTAAGCGAGCGAGTCTTATATCCATTTGGCTGAGTCTCAGTCCAGCTATTATATTCTTGATTTTCTTTCTGTGGCACGCTGTGGCACATATTCATTCACCTTGTGCAGCGGGGCAAGTTTTCTGTTTCTAGCCGATGCTGCCGCATTTGAAATGTGTTTCAAAGTTTACCCAAAAGCCAAGTTAAGCCTTTTGTTGCCAACAATAAACAAGCCAACAGCAAATGCCAACAACTGCTGTGGCCACTACCAATTATACGGCGCAGAAAAGTATGCTACAGAAAATGTAATTCAATTATGAGTCGTCGCTAATGCATAGAAATGAGGCTGCCTCTTGTAGCACACCATTGTGTGCAATTCATAAGAAGTGCGACTAATAATGCTTCTAACTGTATACATATATATACGTATGTGGATGTGGATGTGTATGTGTATATAAGAGTGACTGGCCGATAAGTATCCGGCACTAATCAGCGCTGTCATTGTGTGCGTTCGTGTCTGCCATTTGCCTGACTTGCTTATTTATGATACGCCGATTTATGAGTGGTCCCCCAACCACAACACCATCAGCACCCCGATCTCCCTAGGGCTGTGGAAGATGCTGCTCCACATAAATATATTGCATGTAATTAATCAGCAGCAATGCCCGAAGTATGCCTTGTCGATAAGTGTGTCTCAGTTGCATCAATCTTAAGCACATAGCTCAACTCAAGCAGCGGTAATTTGGCTGAGGATCGCTTCGGGCGTATAATTGAATTTCAGACTTATGCCCCACACCCTGCAAATTGGCACCCCTCGATTGGTTTGCCTAATTGTTGGCATGGGCCATCGTCTGGACTTTGTTTCATGAGGTTGCAATCCACTCAAGTTTCATTGAATAGCCAAATTATTTATTAGCCACATCAAGAGCCACGAACGATAGAGACGGAGATACAGCGAGAGAAAGAGAGGGAAATTGCTTGCGTAGTTATGTGCAAGAGTTAGGCGATGTGTTTTAGGGCCATTATATGCCATATCCGATGCTACATTCTATGATGACTGTTATTTTATCTAAGCTGAATTCTGCTCTGAAATACATACATATACATATTTATCTGTGGTTCATTTAATTAGCAAAACAGATAGCGAGCAATGTAATTGTGAGCAGCTAATAATCGATATTGGTCAAGTAATTTGCTTAATTAATTGCGCTTTTGATTAGATTTGACAGCAAATTGCTAAAACACTGTTCTGATATTAAATAATGCCTGAGAGCTTGAAATTATGAAATCACACTTAACCATCTTCTTTAAGATCCTTCTAATGAGTTCGCAAGCAACGCAAAACCCACAAAAACTTTAAGGCATTATACATTTACATAGGAACTTGTGCCTGTTGTTATTTAAAACCACATCAACTCACACGCGCATCAGACGCAACTACACACACACACACACACACACACACACACACACACACGCACACACACAGTTACACCCATATATATCAAACTGCTACACACACATCTAGTTTTATTAGACTTTCGCTGTTGTTGCTTTTGTTTGCTGCAAAAAGTGTATGCAAAGAAACTTTCAGTTAATTAAAAAAATGGAAGAAGCAGAAGCTGTGCAAAATTGTTGTATAAATTTAGCTCCTTATGCCCGACTAAATGAAAAATCTACCCATGAGTGTTGTTAACCTGATGAAAAGTAGGTAAAACTGTAAGCAGAGCAGAGGCGACGGCGACAGCGACAGCGACGCTGGCAGCGCCAGCACATTTGCGATTATTTCCCACGCGGGCACTCAAAACATAAAGAGCAATAAATTAAAAGCTAAAGCCAGAGACTACGACTAAGTACGGCAGCGACAGCGACAGCGGCGAAAACGTGGATGGAGCTGAGGAAAGGACGTCATGGATTCGGATGGAGGAGCTCCTAGTGACGTCCTTCAAGACGCTAAAAATCAAATAACAGAGCGGCTTTCTTATGCCCCCAGGCAGCCACTTCGGGTGCAAATGAAAAATGTAATTATTTTGTAGATTTGCGTTCACAAAAATAAACACGCGGAAAATTTGACTATTTGTTGGCCTCGGGGTCCACTTCATCAGGGAGGAGGCTGGCTGCAACCTAATGAGCAAGCAGTAAATGGAAGAAACTTAAAAAGGCAACAAAAAAAAAAAAAAAGGCCCATAAAATGTTAAATAAATAAATAGTGGCTGACAGAGCATTGGCCCAAATGAGAGCAACTTTTGTAGCTGCCGTTTGCAAAATCTCAAAGAAATTAGCGCAAACAACTTGCGGGCTGAAGCAGGTGCACAGGTGCACAGCGGCACAAGGGGGCGTGGGAGGCGTGGCATGGTCCGGATCTGGGTCCGGGCCCAGCTCCTCCGGTTGCTGCTCATTAATTAAGAAAGTGGCAAATGAAAAGCCAGCAAAACACGCTTCAAATTAAGGGGCTTCGCAGTGCGACGACAGCGACATCAATGAGGACGACTCGCTTTCCCAGTGACCTGTGTGGACTGGAGGCGAGGCAGCTGGGCTGTGGGCAGCGGGCGGCGGGCGGCGGGTGACTGTAGGCGTGGCAAGAGGTAGCTAAAGCCCGTTCGTACTGCGAATAAATCAGGTTTTATTTGCTTTCACTTGTTCTACTCTGATATTAATTTCTCTCTTTCTCTCTAGGTGTATTACATCTTTATTTTTTTTTTCGTTTTGGGGGCACATTTCGCCTGCTTTGTTTGCTGCCGCGTCGCTGCCTGCGGTTTTCATCGTACCAGCGTTGGGGTTGCTGCATTTTGTTGTTGTCGACTTAAACAAAAAAGTCGAAAATTAAATTATTAATTTATTGCCCGTAGCTGGAAGCCTCGACAGCCTCGTTTTCTGTAGACCGGCCTTTTTCTTTATGCCTTTCTACCAAAATAAAAAAAGAAGAAAAATCATTCAGAGAAAAAAAAAATGAAATAACAGAATAACCTGAACGTTGCTGTGGCGCCACATTTTGTGGCTTTTCTCGGCCCAGGCCCCCTCGGCCTGCTAATTATTCATAAATAAGGCGTGCATAGGCAGCGGATGACGCTGCTGCTGGGGAATTGGTTCGACTGGGGCATTTCATGCGCCGCTTGTTTATTTATTTAATAATTTGCACAAGTGCCGCAAAATGTTCTTTGATTGAAGTTAATGCGCCCACCGGACAGCGATTCGACGTTGCTGCCACAGCAGCCAATTGGCCAACTAGGTTCTTGGCCTACTTTCAGACACCAATAAAAAAGTAATTAACAGCGCCAAGTGCCGATAGCCAAATTCAATTTATTTTTATTTTATTCTTATCAACAAAACCAGGGCAAACACAAATACCATTCCGGTCAATTTAGGATTAGCAAAGCTGTTATGTCTACCAATTGGTTAAAAAAGCGTGGGATTTAAAAATTGGTTTTGTTAACGAACTGCGTCGATTTAAGATTATGTTTGATTAATTTCACATTACTGCAAGTGCTTTTAAGTTCATTGTATTCATATAATTTTGCTAATATTATTTTTTATTTATTTTTTATTGATTTAATGCTGTCGGCTGCCAGAAAGTTTTTATTGTGAAATAATCTTAAATTTTTATGAACTTACTGCACTAACCAATTTGTCAAATATATTGTTTTCAATTTATACTTTTTATTCCACTTACGATATTTCTCCGAATGGCGTGAATGCATCTTTCAGCTGTTGTGTTTCAATTTCAGCACTCAAATCACCCACAAAGATGTGAAACTGTTCTGCAATGACAAAGACAGAGAGAGAGAGAGAGATAAATACAAAGGCAATTACTAAAAGATCGTTCACGAGTTCAACGAAAACTAATTAAGCTGCTGGCAAACCAAAACTCATCATCAGCCTAGGCCTGAGGCCGAAACTCTTGACACACACTTGAGACACACATGAGAATTCTCGGCAACAGTTGCCAGTTGCCAGTTGGCAGTTTCCACTTCCCAGTTTCCTCATCACAGATTGCCAGTTGTTGAAATCGCAACCTGCAATTGTGCAGTTAGTGCTAGAATGTGTGTTGAGTTTCGAGCCGTAACCGTGGCTGATTTTGGGCCTGACATTATCAAATGCCGCTTGTCAGGCTGCTTGTCCCCATGTTCCCACGCCCATCCGGCTTAGTTTGCGTTGTCTTCTCGTTTTGGAAAGCGGCATTTCTGGCCGACACTTGAGGGCTGCTACTGCCACTACTGCTGCATTTGCAGCTGTTGCTGCTACTTTAGACGAGCCAGCCGGCAGTCACAGATACAGGGATATGAATAGTCGCACGCCCAGAACAGGATCTGTCGCTCCGATTGCAACGTGCCAAACCTGCTGGTGGTGTGGGTGGTGCTGCTTTGTTGGTGGTCTGTTGTGCAGGTGGACACGAATGCAGACCAAGTGTGGCGACGTGTCATGTTTGTATCCAGACGCCAGGAACTTTCGCATTTGAAACAAATCTCTCCCATATCAGCTGGCCGACTTTTGTTGCTGCTGCCCGTTTTTCGGCTCGCGTCCGTACCAAAATGACATAGTTTCGTATTACAAGGAAATTGCACTTGAATGTATCAGCCAGCGTCAGCCGGGTAAGTGTATGAATGGACTGGTGGGCACGGCACTCATTTGCTGTCACTGTGTGTATGTGTGTGTGTGTGGGTGTGCTGCAAAACATGAGCAGTGTGGAAACAGCGTTGACAAATATGCCAAAAAAGAAAAAAAAAAACGAACTCCTCCCAAAAAGCATGAGTTGGCCAGAATTGCCGAGGGAGCAGTGGCGGCGGCGGCAGCAGAAGCTCTCTTGGCCTTACCATTTTCGGTCCTGCATTGCCTTTCGGTTTTTCGTGTCTGCAACTGGTTTTGGCCACGTTTATGCTGCGCGTTGTCCCGTGGCTGAGAGCACGCGCTCGTCCATTTGTCCGGCTAAACGGCAGGAAGTTGTGCTAAGCGTCATTTCCGTTGTTTTGAGTGATTGCAATTGAGATACGGTTTTTGTGGTTTCTTTTTTGGGGTTGGGTCTCCAGCACTTGGCATAAGTGGTTTGGTTTTCCACTCAATGGTGCTGCTGTGTCGTCTGATGTCGTGAATCCAACATTTTTTGGAAATGTTACGCTTCATTATTTTCGATTAACGTGGCAGACCATTGGATTGCAAACCAGTATTAAAGTTGTTTGCAAAAGTTTATAAAATTGTAAAGCTAATTTTCTTTATTTGTTCAATAATATATTGTATTGTAAATCCCCTCATCAATCGTTGTAGAATTCATTTTGTATCGGACAATCCCTTTGCAACTAAATCTGTTTCAACCTACAATTTATCGCACCCAGGCAAATAAAGTGCAGCTGTAAAGCTCGAAAAAACGCGTCTCCCCCTCACCAACTAACAAGCTCGACCATAAACTACCAGCCATAAACTCCGAACATATTCACACAACAAAGAGTGCTGTTTTTTTTCGAGCGCTGTAAATTTAGTCAATTGGTCAACCGAAAACAATTTAATCAGTGTTATTTTTGTAAATGCAACCGCGATGCCAAAAGGACTTTGCTATGGGATTTGATCTGTTGGCCAATTAAGTTCCAGTACATAAATTGCGGCCAATGACCTATGCTTGCTGGTCAACTCGCTTAATTTTTATTTTTTGGCCATAATGATGTCGAAATTTTTACGGATACTATGTAGGGCTAACAATTAATCGCCTGCAATCTGGGCAACGCATTGCTTACAATTAAAATGATAGGAGGACGGGGTAGGCGGCGATGGAGTCACACATAAAAAAGTCAGGCCAAACTTCACAACGGGGGGGTCCTACGGTGAGGAAAAGCCAAGAAAAGAGAGATAAATTCGCAGCCAAACACCAGCTAACGAAAATGAGCGAACATCAAGCCGAGGGTGGCTGAGTGTTTGAGGGGGTTTTGTAGCTGTAATTCAACATAAAAATATCGTAAATCTTAAATTAGAAATTTGGCACATTAAAAACTTGGAAATTGCATTTAGCTGCTGCTGCTTTTAGTTGTTCACTTGAAATCCCTACCAAACAGCGAACGAATATCCCAACGAACATGCCCAAGAGCAAAAGGCATTTGAGGGCGTGGCCAGACCGGATCAGTATAAGGTCCAATGCCGCACATTTTTAATGAGTTAGACATAAAAAAGTTTTAGCTTTTGAAATGCTGGCGTCGAGATGAAGCCAATGAGAGACACACCGCTGGGACTGTTGGGCATTGTCTCTAGTCCCATTCCCCATTCCCTATTCGCCACTCGCCATTCCCTTCCCATTTCCATTCATTTCCGCTGCTGTTGTCCTAGTCTGCTAGTCTGCTGTTTTATTGCATAATCGTGAGTCAATCAGCGACCTGAGCCCGAAAGAGCGCGTTTGTAATAGAATGAGAACGAGAGAGGGCTACCTTCATCAATGCAAGTCAGCTAATAAATACGTGCAGCAGCTTGCCCGCTGGGACTATTGGAGACAGGGCGTGACTGTGCACACTCCCTATTAAATTAAATTTCAGTGCAGCGCTTTCCAGGCCACTTTAAGTTCGTTACTGCCAGATTGTCACATTTAATTGAATTGTGATCACATCAAATTGCGCATACAAGCATAACCATGCTGCCAAATAGCTATTGAATTGTTTTCACAATTTGCCCAAATTTGGCAGCTCTTTGGCATTAATTACCCATTCGTTCTACGTGGTCGCGAGCAAATCGAATGAATCTGTTAATTGCATATTTATAGTGGAACCCATAACGTAGACTACCTAATTAATATAACAGTCTAAAGGTATTTTATCATTTACAAGTTCTGTATTATTTTTGGAAATCATTTAGTTGGAATTTTGATTGTTTTGCAAGAGCAGCTGCATAAATTTTGAGAGCCATGTCAAATGCTTGTGGCTGGGAGTTTGGATCTGCTGGATCTGCACTTGAAGTATGCATAAATTTTGTGGCAAGTGTTTACCTTCATTAGGGCGCAGTCAGTGTAAAGTGGACTCAAGTGAAGCATGTGGTAATAGAACGTTGCGGTAGTCATCCTCTCCATGCCGCCCCCTCCCACCCATACCTTCCGTGTGTATTTTTGTTTGTGTGACTGTGTGTGTGCAGCACATATTTTGGCATATGTCCAATGCGCGAACTAAAACCAGAGTGACTACAAATGTGGTTGAAATGTACGGGAAAAGCGGCAAACCGCAAAAGTAGCTGAACAAACACAAATGTGCCCAGGCAAAATTGTTGCCAACTTGCATACAAAAAAAATAAATATATATATATATCGAAACATGCACACTACATTTGTATGTACATATATATACATATACTACATATAAACAGCTTTAGTGGGCAGCATCAAGCACAAATACACGTGCACAACGAGAAGTGATGGACGCTGTCATGTGTGTGTGTGTGTGTGTGTGTGTGTGTGTTGGTCCTTTTCTATATCATCGCTCTTAATGTCAGTGCAGAGGTATGAGTGTGGCAACAAATGCAAATACTAATACAAATATAAACACAGATGCTAACTAACCACAGCAATTGCCTGTCTGTATTTGTATGTGTGTGTGTGTACCTCTCACAGAGTCCTGGGCAGGCAATCCAAACACATGCAAAGCTGGATTACAACATTGGCGCATTTTGATGTGTTTCAACGAAAATTATGTTACAATACCACTTGTGTCTTCTTCTACCATATAACAGCAGCACCACTTGCAACACCACCACTACTAGCAACGACGACAACAAGACCAACATTAATAAAAGCAAGGACTATCAGAGTCCATTGTTGGTCCAAGTGCTGTAGACGCCTCTACCACACACTCCCCCTATCCAGGAGCATTCAAAACAACAATGGCACTGATAAAAAGGATAGCAGCATAAGTGGGCAGAAGTCCTGACTCGAATTGCTGTACATTTTTCATATGAACACTCGACTGTAAAATGCATTGCCCCTTGAATTAAATCAACAACAACTCAAGCTGAAAATGCTCTGAATAAAACTCATGCCCAACAGCAGCAACAACAACAGGAACACCAAGCAGCGGAAAGTGCTCAAAATATATTCAACATTGGCATTGGCAACACACATACCACACTGCCCAGCTTTGCCTGCCATTGTTATCAATGTGGCCTTAAGATACATTTTCAATACACTTTTTGGCTTGCCACCAACTCTACAAACTATCGCGTACTGCAAACTGATACGTTTATATTCTGAATCTGCCATAAAATACATTCTGTATTTAGTTTCATGTTAATCATAATTAGATTAGGTGTTATTAATAACTACATCTAATGAAATTTCAGCTGCTATCGGAAATATATTGATTTTATGACAATGAACTTTAGTGCTGTAGGTATTTATTTCTTACTAATCGATGGTTCTGGATGAGAAATTGCATTGCGATCATGTTTTGATATAGCAAGAGAAATCTTGACTTAGCCGAGCTGTGATTTTTTGTAGTAAATAACCTTTACCTTACTGTAAAACTATATTACTACATACATCCAAGAGTGCAGCTTTAAGATATAATGATTGTGAGGCGACGGTTGATGAGTACTATTGATTCATTGCTAAATCTACTAATATTATTTTCCGATGATTATACTAATTGTTTCTTTTTAAATGGAAATTAAATCCTGTTGTGGCGCCAGGTACAGCAAATTTACTAAAATGGCTTTTGGCTGGCATCAAAAGCGCACAGCGCAGTGAAAAGTTGAAAGCTGAGCTTGTAACAACCAAAGGATTGATGCATATGAGGCGCGCGAC